GATCTCAACAATGATGAGACAGTAATGGAGTTTATCGTAGCTACGCTGATGATCATATAGTGAATCATGTATAACAGTGAACGTGTTTGCTTTTGGTGTGTATTTAAAGCTCATTGACATTTATCATGAGATATATAACACTGGTTTCGAATATGCTATACAACCATAATCGTCATATATTCTTAATAAATATAAACTAAATAAAACTCACTGCAGTAACAGTAATAATCCATAGAATCAACAGTATCACTATGATGATAATGATCAAAGTGATATAGATCAAAAACCACTTCAATAAACTGACCAAATCACGTTGAATGTTTATTCCAACTAAAAATAATAACACTGATAGAATGATGGCCAAAATCCAACTGTTAAATATGAACACTCCTTCCACGTTGATTGAAAGACAGGTTATCACCTCAGCGAAACTGAAAGTCTGGTAATTAATTTAAAAAAAAGGATTGCCGAGATAACTCTTATATTAATGAAACCACCTATTAAAATCTGTTTTATTTGACAGAACATTTGTGATAAAGTATCGTAAAATGGGAAAATCATCTTTATGCAATAATTAATTAGATGGTAGAACAAGCTGCAAAAGTTTACGGACTGAATGACTGTAAATAAATGCTCTATCTAATAAATTACTGGATAAAAGATATAAAACTTGTACTGAATTAACTTAACAGTACATGTTCATAATCAGATTTGAGTATTCGACATTTTAGTTGACGCATTTTTCTGATCTCTGTCTACATCATTCAAAACATCTTCACAATTCTGGATCGATATCATTCTCATGTAACCACAATTCGTCATCAGTCACAACTCTATCAAGTAGATTGGATGATTGAGTGAAGCTTTGAAGGATGATGAAGCATTCATAAATTTTGCTCTTGTGAACAAGTTACTTACAGTCTCTAAACACACTTTTCTCAATTAAAAACACTGTTCTACACTCATGTGAACAGAGAATATTCCCGTATCCACCTCGTCAGTCATCGTGTTGGGAGTAAATCATTGATCAGACAGCACACACTTCATATACGATGTTTTATGATAATGTCATCAAAGACAATACATGTTTGTCAATATCTAACAACCTCAGTAACTCATTTTGCACATCCACAGAATATTCAAGTTCATGGGACGACTAAGAGAATGATGTGGCATCTTATCGGGATCCAGTAATACAAATCGAGTTTATATTGTTGTTCACAAAATGTTTAATCACATTCATCCATTACTATCAAATACAACTTACGAATAGTAAGTACGTAGGCGGCCTGCTTGAATACCTGGGCTACCTGTTTCTACCATCTAAATATTTCAACAAGTTATCTGGTTTTTTTAATTTGAACCTATCATTATGTCTATTAATCGCATAACCTATACAGGCGCGTTAATGAAAAGCTTACGTCCTTTCGCTGCAAAAATCACAAACAAGTACAATAAGAGACATCATGATGGTTGTCAATATGCATTAAAGAGAATGAGCATCAATCAAATGTCGATTCCAGAGCTGCTTAATTCTAACTGTCGATCTCTAATTAACAAGGTGGATCTCCAATTTCTGCTAAGTCAAAACATGTATCGTAATTGTGGTGTCATCACCATTCAAGAATCTTGGTTAACTGACTTACAGGATGATTGCTTAGTATCATTACGTGATTTTAATATCTATCGTCAGGATCGATCAAACAACAAAAAGACTTGTGGTGGCGGAGTAGCTACGTTTGTAAACGTTAACTGGTGTCAATCTACTTTTACCTGTTTCAAGTTTTCAAATGACTTTATTGACTGTCTAACTTTAAGGTGCCGTCCAAAACACCTGAATAAATACAAATATATTTATGTTACCAATATCTACATGACTCCAGACTGCACATCATTTGCGCTATCTGGCTTCGCTGATAAATTTACTGAATTCGCCGTTACTGCCTTCAGTGATTCACTTTCAATTGTATGTGGTGATTTCAATTCATGTGACTGTAGCTTCCTTACATCGCTAGGTCACCTAAATGTAGTAGATTTTCCTACTCGTTTGAATGCTCATCTAGACTTGGTTTTCATTAATGATGTGGGTACCTATGTGACTCGCAAACGTGCTCCATTGTCTAGCTCGGATCACTGTATAATTCGTGTTCTACCTAAAGTATATGGTAAACATGGAAAGAGTACACACATACATCATACCAAAAAAGTAATATACAGGAATTACTAAGAAGAAAATTTACGAAATCTGAAAAACATGCTTCGTACGACCAACTGGGAATTATCTACAGATGACTCAATAGAATACAACTGATGTTATCACCTGTTATCTTAAGTTCTGTTTTGATATTTGCTGTCCTACCGAAACCTTCTTTTTAAGTTTTGATCGACTTACATCTCCACAACTAAAACGACTACGGAGGGTAAAAGAAAGGATGTACGAGGAGAAAAATACTACTGAAGTTCGTAACTTAAATGGTCAAGTAAACCAAGAGATAAGACGTCTCAACTCTGTGTTTACTCAAAAACTCCTATCTTGTAAAAGCTCTCCAAGTATGTGGAAACTCTTTAAAGAAATTACAAGGAACAGGAAGACTATAAGCGATAACCAGCTGAATGCTTGTGACTTAAATAAGTCCTTTATACGTCAGTCATCTGACATCATGCTCCCTATATCCAAGGGTCTGAAGAATAATTGTGTTTCCAGTTTCACTGAAAATGATGTCCAAAAATGTCTCCAGTCACTTAGTTCATCCCAATGTTTAGGACCTGATAGCATCCCAAACCTCCTTTTTAAAAAATGTGCTGATGTTTTATGTTATCCATTAACGAATATCTTTAACAGATCCTTCTCAACTAATGTCTTACCGAAAATGTGGAGAAAGATAAAGATAATCCCTATACCAAAGAAAGCTTCTGGTGATAAAAATGCAAAACTTAGACCCATTGCAATAACTTCACCTTTCCATAAATAATGGAAAAATTACTGATACAACCACTTCAACCTGCAATAAAAGAGCACTGTGATCCATATCAGGTTGCTTACAAATGCAAAAGAAGCACATTACATGCCGTTGCTGTTCTGCATCACAATATAGTATTCGGGTTGGAAAAGGGCAAGAAGTATGTTAGATGCGCTTTCCTGGACTTTACTTCTGCTTTTGATTTTATTCCAAGACATCTCTTACTTAACAAGCTGATCAGCGTCGACACTGACAGCTGGATAACCAATTGGCTATGTTCCTACCTTTCTGAAAGAGAACAGTACACTGTATTTGAAGGAAAGTGTTCAACATCTCTACTGTCTAATGTAGGTGTGCCACAAGGAGCTGTTCTTTCACCTTTGCTGTTCTCTTTTTTTCTGCCATCTTCCACAGAAAACACTTTTGTAAAATATGCGGACGACCTCACTGTATGTATGCCGATTTCTACCTCCTTACATCCCATAGAAATGAACGAGTTTTTATCTCGTATTGAAAGTTGGTCTGTTGGTAATGGTCTCTTACTCAGTCCGTCTAAATGTCAAGCTGTTAATTTTAGCTTGAGACATGGACAGAACCTACACTCTATTTTGGGATCCCATAATGCTTGTGCCATTGGAGACTCCTTAATAAACACAGTGTCGAAGGTCAAATATCTTGGTGTCATTTTTTCCTCTGATCTTTCTTGGTCTTCTCATGTTTTACTCTTATCGAAAAAAGTTTACCGTTTGACATACCACATAAAGAGGCTGCATGCTTTTGGGATTACGCGCCAGTTACTCTTACAATTTGTAAATTCCTGCATATTACCTATTATTCTATATTGTTCTCCATTATTCTTTCCTGGGCTTTTGAGAAAAGACTTTGCTGTTTTGCGTAGAGTGCTGAAGGCGGTTTGCAAGGTATGTGGTGAATCTTTTGTAGTCATTATTAATATGCTTGTGGATAGACACCTTAAGTCTTGCAAACTCTTGGCAGGTGTTATCTTATCAGATACTAACCATCCGCTTTATTGATATCTTTCTCCTTGTATATCTTCTGGTAGAACGAGACGTAAATACATTAAAATCCATACACGCAAACAAGTCTATAAAAGTTCTGTAATACCTTTCTTAGCAAATTTACTTTGTGACGAACAGGCTGTTAGAGTTGACCTAGTAAATAACCTGTCTTCTTAAGCATGTTTCAAATTTGATAATTTGTATAAACTCAGTTTTTCCTAAACTTTTTTTCATTCCTTTTCTGTGTTTTTTTTAGGTTTTTTTGTTTTTTTTTTTGGTAAAAAACTTGTTGAAATAACTCGTGCTGAGAATTCTATATTGTACCAGATTATAATATTGAATAAAGCCATTAATAATAATAATAATAATAATAATAATAATAATAATAATAATAATAATAAAAAAAGAAATCCGTGAGATATTTCAAATGTGGAAATCTCTGAATAGAGAAAATTGTAATGGTTTCACCAATCGAAATAACACTGTAATGTAAATTATAAAGTGTCAAAATGAATACTGTAATATAACTAAAACCAATTTGGGAAATGTAGTTGACAAAACATCAAACAGTGTGATATGGGTCAAAACGTATAAATCCTGATGAAAAGTACACGTAGTTGAATGGCCCAATAAATCACTGTCATTCAATTATATATTAAAGGATAGACTATTATGTAAAACATTATTTTGTTCCATATTTTTTCCATATACCCATCTGACAGTACATGAACAATCAATGGAACTGAAATGTCTTCAATGTTATTCATACTGGATTTGTGGTATTCACGATATTTTCTTATTATGTTTTATATACCCGTAATAATAATGTTAAATTTATCATTTGAATCAACCCATTTAAACATAATGATGCACAACGTATGTGTGTACTCTATACGTGTGTGAAATGTCCCAAATAAGCCTACCAGATATATGATGATGAATACCTTGTCTTATACGAATTTACTACGCTTACCTCAAAATACAAGAAAACCAAAACTTCTTATCAAGCTTTACAAAGGTTTTAAAACTGAAGTGGGATTATTAAATAATTGGATCACTGGGAAGCAACAAACTTTGTGAACGCCAATGCAGTAATGAATATTCATAGAAAGATTTGAAGGATATTGGTTAGAAACACCTATATTCTGAAATTTATATTTGCAACTGATTTCTACTTTCAATATAAATCGAATGCGAACTGGATCAATCATTCCAGATAACTTGGAATCTTTACAGATTACTATTTGATCATTATATTTGATTCGATCATTGTAGGTATGTGATCCTGACAACAGAATATGAAACATAAGATTACTGCAAACTGATTATAACTGATTGTGACACCTTATTTGTACAAAACAATCTAATTTGACCAACACTGTTGCGAATGGTGAATATTGTGAACAAATCGTCAATGGAACATTCATCATACTTGACTAAGGCAAAATTCAATTTAGATTACAGAGATAAATGAATCTACTATAATTAGGCGTTTCGCAATAGGTGCTTCACCCCTTAGCCCAATAGTATTAATCATTAAAAATGGGTCTACATATGAATATCCTAGAACGTTATTGTAGGGAATTATTCACAAATAGGATATTCACTAATAGAAACATTTTCAATATAAGGTGTTGAAGTTGATTTCAATGAATTATTATATTATATTATGTATAAGGTCTAATCACTTGACGAAAAACCACGAAACACAAGGAATTCATGTTATGTCTATTGTTTTAATTGTTCTTGATTCAGTTAAATCGACCAATGTGAAAAGCGAACAATCATCTCAGAATATATCAATACTTGAAATCATCAACTCATCAACTTACATAAGCTCTTATGCTTAAATAGTGTTGATGGAATGAATTTTCCACTCAAATCCAATAGTCAATATCTTACATCATGCTGATTCGTTCATGGAATACAGTCCCGTCTAATACCATCTTGTCTGTGAAGTATTTACATAAACTCATTAAATCCGGTTTCTCCAATATATCAATGTCTAGTGACATACTTACACATAAGTCATTTCAGGACTTTCATCTAATGATGAATATATATTCATTGAATAAATATTCCAGCAATGTACAAATGAAATAATTGAATTTGGTTTAGTCTATCATTGTTTATTCTGTATGTACACTAGTCTCAATAATTCTATCCGTAATCAACATTGAACTGACAACAATAATGATATTCAAATACCTTGAATCAGTAATGTTGTTTCACCTTTCCAAATACAAGTGCTCTTTCTTCTCTCTTAAACTCATTCATTATACCAATGAAATTATGGAAATGTGATTACATCATTCAATTGGTTCAACTTTATTAATCCAAACAATGTTAATCAAATATGCATCAATGTCAATACAAACCTTCATTTGGATATTTGTGCAACATCAGTTGTGTTCACAAACAGTTCTCGTTAAAGTTGATCAAGTCAATCTACATTGATTTATAATGTTGATGTGAATGAAAACGATTGGTGAACTTTCAATAAACTGTGAAGAACAGTACGACTTTTGATCAGATCAAAGTACAAATTAGTTAGTGCCAAATTATCTGATCTACTCAACCATTATATATATTTCCATAAATGAGACAGTCATAAGCGATATGAGAGAACACTCAATCAACATTTCACACGATATAAATTGGTTATATGAATGTCATGTATGAAAGGAGTTTGTTTTCGTGGATGAGAATGCGATTAGAAAACAATGATATTTTCACGAATCTATGAGCATCTATTAGAGGTCTCAGTTCATACTTATGCAGTCAGTTAAATATGTCAAAAGTACCTGTACTCTGATGTATGATGCTTCAAGATAATCCATTCAATTGATAACTACACAAGGCACCCCAAATCAAAACGGTGTGAATAGTCAGAGTAAATCACATATAAGTGACTCCGAAATATGTTTGTGTATTTAGTTTATGAGACATATCTAGACATGTTCATCTAATGAATAAAGTCCACTTCATTAACTGTATTATAAACAATCACTTTTTTATTTAATTAACGATGAGGGAATAAATCACTTGAGAAGCACTACAGTCATCTTCAATACCATCGTGATATACTGAAAGCAGACAGTGACCGATAGTACTGCTGTATACTTTCCATGTTGAAGAACATAGTTTCATCTAAAACATGTCATTGTGAATTTAATAGTTATTGATGAGATCACACATTTTTTATTTCACTGAAGTGCTTTTCATCCAAATCACCATCTAGTAGTTGAAATCCTCATATTTTATGAAAGCTAATTAACCCAATATTTTATCCAGTCAGATTTCACCGTTTGCAAATTTAAAATATTTTCTTCTTTGCAGATCGTTTATTGCCTATTTATTCAAGAGGTAATTACCAACGCGTTCATATAAATGAGTCTCAAATTCGGTGGATATTCATTTACTGAAAACATATCACATCCCAGAACACCTAACTGTCTAAAACACTCGTCTCATCATCAACCATTACACATTATCTGATTAAACTTGTCACTGTATCTCTTCAAACGATCTACTAGAAAATCTGTTTGGTAATAATACTTGCAAGTCCTTAAAATGAAAGTCCACCCAATACATCCATACAATCAGTATCATCTAATGTTAGGGATTCATGCTGAATCTAAAAACACTAAATTCACAAGACAAATGATTTATACCACATCACCTATTCGAAAAAACACAGTATTTATGGAGACTGACACACGTGATTGAAGATTTCGATGCATTTATAATCCACATTTGTGAAATTTTCATAATAACAAACCACAAAACAATTAGTCAACTTATTCTGATTGATGAAGAATAAACATTGATCCTTGTACTCATCATTATTGAAGACGTTATCAGTGGTAATTAAATCACATCAATCTCAGAAAATTTGTTTATTTACTAATTCCCACATCATTTGTGATTTAAATGAGAAGTTAGATATTCCCTACAAAATACACAGTTCAGCGTAATCGACGGTGCTTCACAGACTCATCAATAACTCTTCTTGTTTGAGTGAAAACAACCTAACCATTAATTAAATAGTTGATACTTTTGCAAATAGGTTTACTCTAGTTTCACTCGAAATTGTGTGAACCTAAACGTTGTTAGTGATAATGACTAAGTGATCAGTCACTGTCCGCACATTCGTACCCTGAGCTGATTGTCTGGATAGTGATATTAGGTCTGAAGACATTTTAATTATAGTTGTCAGGTGTCTGTCAGCTAAAACTAAAATACGAGTTCGTCATATTTAGGACTCATCAGAGAGATCTACCTGTACTTCAGTGTCAATGTTTATACTGGAATACAAATGAAGACTGGTCAAAATTCAGTCATTTTTATCAACAACGAATAAATCAAAACCCTCATCATCATAACAATAATGTACACAAATTATGTCGTGATTTGTCCATAATTGCCTACAATCCTCGCTCACCTCTATCTGCAAGAGGTCGTTCAAATAACACCATCTCATTCCAATCATAGAAACAAAGTATATACACATTATATTATCATGACTAAGAATAGTACATTGGACAAAATTCTTGAATCACATCAATGCTACCGTTATAGAGAAAATTTCTGGCTGCATCATACCTGTTTCCTCATGAATCTTATATCTATGTATAATTCATTCTGATTATTCAAAACGATGTCTAGCTAAATCTACTCCATATTGTTGATTGATTTTAAAAACAACTATGCATCATTAAGTAGAATAGAATGAATAAATGAACAGAGGTTCATCGGAAAAAGCCATATTATTGATCGAATGAGTGTTTACGAATGGTAAAACTAAGTTATACAATACCACATCGTCCTACCCAGTGAAACGACAAAACCAGCATTGATGAACTTATCACTCATTTATCAAGCTTTATTCTCGACTGTTTTCATTGATCTGGAATTCGTAGAGATTTAACATTTATGACTGAAATGTTCAAGACATTGTTTGTTTTCTTTTGTTCTTTACTAAAACTATCGTCCGATGAACTTATGTATGAACGTAATCAACAATCAACATGCCAATAAGTACACTATACATTATTTATGCCAGTTGACCTGTATTTCAAGAATTGAAAATTTCATTAGTAAATAGAAAGATGATCAGCCATGCTATTTCTCACATCAAAATCAATGATTATTCATGATTGTAAATAGTTTAAGGCTAACACAAACGGAGAGAATATAATTAGTAGACGAATCAATCAGAGGTGTTGGATTTTGATGCGGAATTCATCCATCCATTTGACAAGATAGAGTTCTGAAATTTTAGCTGATATCAGTTCGTTTTGAAAACCCTATATCTAGTTGCTAACCCTAGACGTCAACTGTAAATAGTAATTCAAATTCCTCACACTGTTTTAGAACACTCACCTAGCACTATTGAGTAGGTGGACATTCACAAGGTCAGTTTAGCATCACTCAAAGACGTCCGCAAATTATAGTCTCACCACATAAACCTCACCCTATTATTCTGATAGTATTAGCTAAGTTGTTATTAATTATACAACAAAATATACATAAACTTGAAAGTGAACCTGTCTTAATAAATTAAAACATATTTGATCAATTATCGGTTACATTCTCCTCAATGTTTCTAAGGGTGATGTCGTAATTTATACTTCAGATTAATTTTAACCATTACAATTTGTAAAGTTCTGATCTTTATGAATGATAAGCAAAATCTGTGATAAGAAAATTTCTGAAGCCATACATTTGCAGCATTTGAGATATCACGAAATGGATGAAGAATTCTCTCGTGGTTTTCTTCTTAAATCAATGATTCATTTTGATAAATATCACTACTGTAACTTGTTTACAAAGTGAATATTTATGTGCTTATCTCTATTGAACGAATTTCACGTGAAGTCTAATGAGATCAGTCAGTTAATCAAATTGAACTAGGTGAAATATGGTTTGGATGTGAGATCGAATGGTTGGACTGTAGATTAATCTAGATTAATCAATAAACAAATTGCTATATAGCGATCATGAAACTGTAAGACAATTAAACGTGGTAGACGAGATACATTGTTTAACATATGCTTCGTGATAGTCGGTACTTGTAAACTAGACGTACTTTGAATATTACGAGAGTTGATACTCCCTCAAAATGGGATTTCAAATCACATCAACCAGCAACAGACGTGAAATCTAGAACCAAGAAATTTACTGACTATCTTCAATTAATTAGTACATTATCACAGAGCACGAAATGTACAGTCGTTTAAATTGTTTGCCTAATTGTATCTTCATCGATAGAATTTAATCTCTATTGTATGGGGATTATAGAGATGTGGCATTGTCAAACACTGAGTGCTTAGTCAATTACAATCATCAAAGTTGAGTATAACAACAGTGCTAATAATACCATGAATTGCTTATTTGTTATGTATCATAAGAAATTTTATAGTTAAGATCATGAGTCAATTGAGGCTAGACCACCATCGAAAACCTGGAAGCACTGGACGGCCGTTTCGTCCCATTATGGGACTCCTCAGCAGTGCGCATCCACGAACCCGCTCTCGCGAGATTCGAACCCAGGACCTACCAGTGTCGAGCCGGAGCCCTTAACCGATAGACCACTGAGCTGTCATCTAGCCTCAATTGACTCATGATCTTAACTATAAAATTACTAAATCTCCACAAAAACCCCCCTTGTGATAATGATCATATGCTCACTAGTGACTGGCTCCTTGAGGTAATTCCTGGAGTTATAGTGAGAAGTCGTGGCCAGTGGAGCTAATCCATGTCAGGTAGAGACAGGTATCTACCTCAGTACATTGGAAGTTGGTTGCGCAATTTCGTGGATTGGTTAAGGTTAGACATTAACACCGTTGGATGCCAGCTCAGTGGTCTATCGGTTAAGGGCTCCGGCTCGAGACTGGTAGGTCCTGGGTTCGAGTCTCGCGGGAGCGGGTTCGTGGATGCGCACTGCTGAGGAGTCCCGTAATAGGACGAAACGGCCGTCCAGTGCTTCCAGGTTTTCGATGGTGGTCTAGCCTCAATTGACTCATGATCTTAACTATAAAATTACTAAATCTCCACAAAACCCCCCTTGTCATAAGAAATTATTGGGAAATTCTATCACTTCCAATTTTTCAATCAATCGAGTTGGATATTCAAATGACAATGAAAAGTTGTAATTTTAATTTGGTAAATTTGAATAAAATGAAAGAATATATAAGAAGGTTCATTCCCAGTTACCTGAGTAGATGTTATTAAATCCATTTAATTTTGAACTAACTTTTGGTAAGAGGTTTCATAACTAATGGGAAACTATGTTGTTTATTCTCATGCTTATCGACACCGTATTTTGATTCGTTTCAAAGAAAGGGATCTACAAACATGAATTACATACATTCGGATTTTAGTTAGATAACGAAGAAAGTCTATGAAGCGATGGATAGTTGTTTATTTGGAGTATGGTGTCTTTTATTTGTCTTAGTCTTTCACCTCAGCTGGATGAATACTGTTGAGGAATCCCATCATAGGATGCAACGACCGTTTGTTGCACTGTTGGTTTTCAGTATTTGTTTTACTAAGATTATTTAATGGTGCAAAGCACGGAATATTTTGTATTGTCTACCGAAACATTATTGATTTTTATTGTGTTATTTATTCTTCTTAGATCTTAATCAAAACTCTAATTACAAGGGGTTTTGTTGATTAAAACGTTGACTGTTTTTATCAACTTTATTAGTTTTTTATATAGTTAAGATCGTGAGTCAATTGAAGCTAGACTACCATGGAAAACCTGGAAGCACTGGATGGCCGTTTCATCCTATTGTGGGATTCCTCAGCAGTGGTCTATCAGTTGAGTGCTCTGGTGCGAGACTGATAGGTCCTGGGCTCGAATCACACGAGGCGGGATAGTGGATTCTCACTGTTGAGGAGTCCCACGATAGAACGAGTTGGCCGTGCAGTGCTTCCAAGTTTTCCATGGTGGTCTAGCTTCAATTGACTCATTATCTTAACTATATAAAACTCTCGTCTAAATTAGAGCGAATAGTTTCACAGTATTTGAGCGCCGAGTTGATGTAAGACATGAAATAGGAATAATATATTTGCAAAATCTCAGCGAATGAATTTGTAGTAAATCCAACGTTTCGCCTGGCAATCTGGTCCAAGCTTTTTCAAGGAATTATCAAGGAATTATCTAATTGTTTATATTGTTTATTATTCAAAATAATTAACTTCCTAATTTTGGTAATGCTAATTTATTTATAAAAGAAAAAACCCGTTATGTTTACACTCAATGGTAATCAATCAATCCTATATTACTGTTCTATAATTAACATTTATGAGTATGTTTGTATATGACGACTGTCTTATGATACAATCATACAATTATCATTTGATTAAAAACTAATAGATATATATATATATTACTAATATAGCATACAGACGCTTCCACTTTTGCTGATTTGGAAACCTATCCATACTTTATACTTTATATGATCACGCTATATTCATTAAGAAAAAAAAGTCTTACTAAAAGGTCATTTGATATATATCACATAGGAATGTTTGTTTAAACAAAAACAAACAAACAAACATTTTCTAAACAATTCAAATCATATTGAATGAATCACAACTCATTAATGTATATATATAGGTACTTCATATTGGATATAAGAAGAAAACAATTTTTTTCTTTATTTTTCGTTTTCTCTTCATTGATTCTCTATACCTTAGCAACAAAATTAATAATGGAAGAAATTATATTAAAAATTGCATTTCATTCAATACAATTAAATGAATTGAATTCATATAAATATGGTATTATTATACCATTAAATAAACAAATCATATGTAAACAATTTAATTTAAATCAATGGCCAATAACAAAATTATGGAAAAAAATTTTTCAAAATTTATTTCATTTAAAATTAATACAACGTTTTCATGAATCCAAATTACTATTACCAAATAATAATGATGGATTAATAGTCCCATATGAAATTGGAATAGACGAAAGGAAGTTTACAATCATAACAAGTTTCTATTCATATGGTAATTTATTTGAATGGTTTCAACAAAGATCTATATTATCTATGGAAGATGCATGTACTGTTATAGAATATTTATGTAAAGCTGTTAATTATCTACATGAGAGACATATATATCATGGTAATATTAAACCATATAATATTTTCTTTAAAAGTGATAATCCTAAATCATTATCATTAGTATTAGATTTTAGTGTTTTAACAGAAATCAATTTATTATGTAATACTAATACTAATAGTAATAATAATAATAGTAATATGACAAATTTGTTATTTATTTATTGGTCACCAGAATATATGAATGATATCAAGTTAACCAATGATTATATCAATGCAACTACTACTACTACTACTTATAACAATAATATTAATAAACAACAGAATATATATGAACTAATTAAAGCATTATGGAATAAGAAATCTATGGAATTAGATTCATGGTCTATTGGTATTATCATGCATTTATTATTTACTGGTAAATTACCATTTTTAGAGCATAAAAATTTATATAACTTTTTAAATTATATAAATAATACTACTACTAATAAGAATACTACTCAAACACAATTAAGTAGTTTATTATTGTTATCTAAAATTGATAAAAATATATATGAAATAGTTACTATGTTATTAAATATTGATATGAATAAACGATATAATTATAAACAATTAATAACAACTTATTGGTATAATGATATTATTAAAGAAAATAAACAAAGGGATATAAAATCAATTATAGAATATAATTTTTTAACTACATTTATAAAACATCAAATGGAAACAGAAAATATAATGAAACAATTAAAACATTTAATGAAGAATACAAATTCAAATGTACAATCATTATCATGATGGTGGTGATGACGATGGGGAGAAAATATTGATTTTTTGTTTATTAAAACAAAAAAAAGAAAAATTCAAATTTGACTAATCAGGAAAAAGCATCAAAAAAAGAAAGAAAATTTCTTTTTTCTTTTGGTAAAATAATTGTTTTTTTTAATGAAAAATACAAAAATAATGGAAGATAATCATGACAAATATCATAATATTTATGATGTTCAATCATTTGTTAAATTCAACTATGAATGAAAAATTAAAAAAAAACCAACAGGGAAAAAACAATTTTTTTTCTTTGAACACGATGTACTACTTACAAGATGTTTTATTCAAAGTTATCATATCCTTTTCAATGGTACGGATATTCATTAGAATATTGAAAGAAGAAAGGAAAATTTCAGATCTTATTGTCTATGGAAAACAATGTGGAAACTTATTGAATGGAGTTATAGAAAAGATTCATACTATTAACTTATTAATAAATTGTTACTATTAATATATTACATTTACATTGATATAAATACGGAAACAGTATGCTCATTTTCATGTCACTTTGAATAAAAATTAAATAAAGCGATATTTTTTATAAATTAATGCTCTTCTGATTTGCTATAAATAACTGAATACACATGTTGCGGTTACGATACTACTTTTACTACTCCCGAAACCGCTTTACGTTCAATCCCAGTCTAGAGCTCGAGTGAAGCGATAAGTTTAGACACTAGATTAGTAACCTAAACCCATCAAAATAAAGGCAATCAGAAAACTCATGTTCTTAATTTGTGTCGTATATGCTTTTGTGTATTCCTTGTAGGGTAAAATAGACAGCTGAAGAGAGTGATTAAGTATTTCATCCACAGCTCAATCCATATATTTATACAAAGTCACTTATACATCTCTCCTATTAAATGATCCATAGACTTACTTACCACAGGACTAGTGATTAGTAGACAAGTTATATGACTTTCAATATAAAATGATCTATACAATATATTACTGAACGAACTTACGTTTACTTTAACCGCATAATACTAACGTGTTATATACAATGGTAATAAAGTTTCATATTTGTCAACATTAAATATTCTCACTTTTAACCTTACACAAGTTCTAAATAAATCAACGTTCAATTCTTACAAACGTTTGTACTTAGTATGGAATTTTCTTATCTCCTCACGAACTGTTAACTTATTCCTAGTGCTTACAGATTTATCACTCAAATTTATAGAGTTATTTTCAACAGTTAGGAAGTATTTATATCTAAAAGAAAGTGATACATCGCAGTAGTTAAACAAATATATGACGCCTGAATGACATTAATACTATTTAGAAGATAAACTCAACGAACGTATGAATATTCAACGGTTGTACTTCAGTTTAGATCCCGATTTCAAAAGTCAATTCAATGATAATGAAAAGATACATTTGAACATTATAATTTTATAAGGTTGATTAAATTCTACTTGTACTTTCAAAGCCAAAATGTTATTGTATAGAAATTTATAAAGTCTCTAGCTGCTGTTCTCACCATTCCTAAAAGAAGAATATAGAAATAAGTAGAACTAACCTATACTTCCTACCATTGTCAATGCTCAAACAGCTATGTAGTTCTTATTTCCTTCATTTGCTTTTCAACAGAAAGACTATTTATACCAAGAAGTAATAAATGAAAATTTAACGCAACTTCAATTTTTTTTACTTTATGTTGTAGTGACGTCTTGTCTCGACGAGAACACGATTGGAATAATAGAAACAATTATTATTATTTTAAGCAATTGTACCAGCGATTGTTATACTATACTTGTTTAACTGTATCAAACTCACTTCTCGTTCCGCTCTCCATCTTGTTGGTTTGAACTCTCTTACGCTCTGTCCTTTTTGCCTGTGCTCGTTGGCACGTCTCGGTATTCCTTCGATACCATGAGATCTCCAATAATTATACTATAACTGGACCAATCACAGTCTTCTGGTTTACGAGTTATCAAAGGGACCAAGTTGTTTCTGGACGCGTAGTCTCATTGTAGTGGTGATCATAGCCAAACGAGGCTCGACGTCATTTTCAATGTGACTGTTAACTTTCTCAAGATTTAAGATCATTCAATCAACCTCCCTTATATTGCAGAAATTTGATCATACCAGAAGGGATCATTTTGTGTTTAGGGTTCCTATACAGTCAACAATAAATAAATAAATCAGTTATCTTAGTATTACCAATATATGTGTGAGCAAACTAACTAATTGAATGACAAAGTTAATAACAATAAACATACAATTTATGATCTATTGAAGCAAAACAAAGCGTCGATAAACATGAGGATAAACAACATAGTATCCCATTAGTTATAAAACGTCTTAACAAAAGTTAGTTGGAAATTAAATTGATTTGATAAGATCTACTCAGGTAACTGTGAATGAAACTTCTTTTATATATTCTTTCATTTTATTCAAATTTACCAAATTAAAATTACAACTTTTCATTGTCATTTGAATATCCAACTCGATTGATTGAAAAATTGGAAGTGATAGAATTTCCCAATAATTTCTTATTATACGTATGAAATAAACAATTTATGATATTATGAGCACTGTTTTTATACTCAACTTTGATGATTGTAGTTGACTAAACACTCAATGTTGGACAATGTCACATCTCTATAATCCCCATACAATAGAGATTAAATTCTATCGATGAAGATTCAATTAGGCAAACAATTTAAACGACTGTACATTTCGTGCTCTGTGATAATGTACTAATTAATTGAAGATAGTCAGTAAATTTCTTGATTCTAGATTTCACGTCTATTGCTGGTTGATGTGATTTGAAATCCCATTTTGAGGGAGTATCAACTCTCGTAATATTCAAAGTACGTCTAGTTTGCAAGTACCGACTATCACGAAGCATACGTTAAACAGTGTATCTCGTCTACCACGTTTAACTGTCGTACGGTTACATGAATGTAACAGTGCAATTTACTTACTGACCAGTCTATATACATCTAGATTTCAAACATTTATATCTCACAAGTTACAGTAGTGATATTTGTCAAAATGAATCATCGATTTAAGAAGAAAACCACGAGAGAATTCTTTATCAATTTTGTAATATGTCAAGTGCTGCAAATGTATGGCATCATAAATTTTCTCATAGATTTTGCTTATCATTCATAAAGATCAGAACATTACGAATTGTAATGGTTGAAATGAGTCTGGAATATAAATTACGACATCACCCTTAGAAACATTGAGGAGAATGTAACAGATAATTGATCAGCTATGTTTCAATTTTTTATGACAGGAGCTCCTTCAAGTTTATTTATATTTAATTGTATAATGAATAACATTTCACCTAATACAATCAGAAAATTAAAGTGAGGTTTATGGGATGATTCTATAATTTATGGATGACCTTTGATGGGTATTAAACTGACCTTGTGAATTTTCACCTATTCACTTGTACGAGACGCGAAGGAATTTGAATTATGATTTATAGTTGACGTCTAGGGTTAGCAACCAGATGTAAGGTTTTCATGACGAACTGACATTATCATAATTTGCAAAGCTTTAGTAATGAAGTGAACTTCATTCATTAGACGAACAAGTCGAAAGATGTCTAATAAACTATGTACACAAACACACTTTGAAGTCACTTATATGGGGTTACTCTAACTATTTTTATATTCACTCCGTTTTGATTTGGGGCACCTTGTGTAGTAATCAGTTGAATGGATAATCTGGAAAAATCATACATCAGAGTACAAGTATTCTTCACATATTCTACTGAGTAAATATGTAACTTGATAACTATGAACTGAGGCCTTCAATATATGCTCTTAGATTCGTGAAAATATCATCATTTTACAAACGATTTCTCATCAACGAAAACAAACTCGTTTCATACATGACATTCATTTAAATTTTCTGATAAATAACACAATCCATATATATGCTGCAACTTTGAGATCATCCAGGACTGGTCTATTCAGTTAGCACTTATATGTAGATTATTGTGTGTATTTGAAGTTGAACATGTGAAAGTGAGATTTTGGTGTGAGAAATAGCATAGCTGATCATCTTTCTATCTACTAATGAAATTTTCAATTCTTGAACTACAGGTCAACTGGCATAAGTAATGTATAGTGTCCTTATTGGCATGTTGATTGTTGATTACGTTCATACATAAGTTCATCGGACGATAGTTTTAGTAAAGAACAAAAGAAAACAAACAATGTCTTGAACATTTCAGTCATAAATGTTAAATCTCTACGAATTCCAGATCAATGAAAACAGTGGAGAATAAAGCTTGATAAATGAGTGATAAGTTCATCAATGCTGGTTTTGTCGTTTCACTGGGTAAGACGATGTGGTATTGTATAACTTAGTTTTACCATTCGTAAACACTCATTCGATCAATAATATGGCTATTTCCGATGAACCACTGTTCATTTATTCATTCTATTATACTTAATGATGCATAATTGTTTTAAAATCAATCAACATTATCCATTGGATTTAGCTAGACATCGTTTTGAATAATCAGAATGAATTATACATAGATATAAGATTCATGTGGAAACAGGTGTGTTGCAGCAAGAAATAACATTGAGAATTGATGTGATTCAGGAATCCTGTCCAATGTACTATTCTTAGTCATAATAATATAACGTGTATATATTTTGTTTCTATGATTGGAATGAGATAGTGTTATTTGAACGACCTCTTCCAGATAGAGATAAGCGAGGATTGTAGGCGATTATGTATAAATCACGCCATTATGTGTTTACATTATTGTTATGATGATGATGAGAGATTTGGGTTATTCGTTGTTGATAATAATGACTGAATTTTGACCAGTCTCGATTTGTATTCTGGCATAATAATTAAACCTGACATGTAGGTGGATCTCTCGGATGTGTCACCAATATGACGCAACTCCTATCTTAGTTTTCACTGACAGACAGTAAACAACTATATATGAAACGTCTTGCTACTCAAGGGATTTATTCCCTAATCTATTT